TGAATGAGAAAATGGATTTGACTGTTGCGGTTAATAACTGTGGGCAAACAGGGAATATTGATACAGAAATTATCCAGGGACCAACTCATGAATCTGTACTGACTGGGCAAGTGCAGAAGATAATGGAGGAGGATGCGGTTGCACCCCAAATAATACAAATGGAGAGTCCCGAGGCCCTACAGGAGCATGAGCCGCTGTCATTGAAGATTGAAGTTGGAGTGGGCCAGGGGGAGTCTGGAGTTGAGGAGGTTCCCAACGTTGGAGAGACCCTGGAATATGCTTTTAAATACTTTTTGGACTATATTGAGGACTGTGGGGAGTGGGACTGTGGGGAATGGGCGGGTTTGATGAAGGGAGATGGAGACAATTTTGGCTTGGAATCTCCCAGAGGCCTACCCCTCAGTGAGAAAGGAAAGAAACTAAGAAAGAGACCAACAAAAGACAAGGAAAAGGGCAAGTATAAACAAGAAGAAGAAGAATTGCAGAAGGGACATGGAAGAGACTTAATGGCCTCGGACATAAGGCTTCCAGGTTGATGGACTAGATGGAATGGACAGTAAGGACTGACACGATCCGAGACCAGGAAGAAGGGACGTTGGATGAAGACTGGAAGAAAATTTATAAAGAAAATTTTCTATTTGGGGAATTGGCTAAAAATTAGCCAATTTAATGCCCAGCAAACTGATTACAATGTATAAAAGAGGATCCAACTTAGGTTGGAAATGTTTAGACAAGGAGGGCTCATTAATCCACATGTGGTGGCAATGCGAACTCGGGGGGTGGGTGGGGGATATTGGGGAATGATTAATGAAGAACTAAAGAAGATGCTTAAATGTTCCTTCCTCAATAAGCCAGACGCATTCCTGTTAGCTATAATAGGACAGGAAATTCCAGATAAAGTAATAAAAACAAACAAACAACCCTCTTCCTTTACACAACAGCAGCAGCAAGGGTACTATACAGTAAAACGTGGAAGGAGAGGGAAATATTGACCAAAGACCAGTTGGTAGTTTAAACTAATAGAATGTGTAGAATTAGCCACGATGACAGCCAAAATAAGAAATACAAAGAGAAAAACAGTTTTAAGTGAGTGGGAACAACTAGAGGAGTATTTAAAAAGAAGCGGTATAAATATAAATTTACAAGTAGGGTTAAACATATGAACACCAGTAGACACAACAAGGAGTGGAAGATAGAGGAGGGAAGGCTTGGAAAGCTTTAGGAGTTGCAGCAAACCAAAGTGACTGAGGATGTCAAGGAAATATAGGTTGGGAAGTCCAGGCGAGAAGGCTTAGGAGATGATGTTTGCAACTGAAATAACTATAGATAAAGGTAAAGGGACCCCTGACCATTAGGTCCAGTCGTGACCGACTCTGGGGTTGCGGCGCTCATCTCACTTTATTGGCTGAGGGAGCCGGCGCACAGCATGACTAAGCGAACCAGAGCAGCGCACGGAAACACCATTTATCTTCCCGCCGGAGCGGTGCCTATTTATCTACTTGCACTTTGATGTGCTTTCAAACTGCTAGGTTGGCAGGAGCAGGGACCGAGCAATGGGAGCTCACCCCGTCGCAGGGATTCGAACCGCCGACCTTCTGATCGGCAAGTCCTAGGCTCTGTGGTTTAATCCACAGCCCCACCCACGTCCCCATAGTTATTCATTATGGTCCTTTGGATATAACTATAAGTTTGGAATAACTATAACCAGCTGTAATTGATAATTTCACAAGAAGAAAGAAAGAAAGAAAGAAAGAAAGAAAGAAAGACACCCCTAAACAGACTTTTTGCAGTTTGGAAGTAATAGGGAAATTCCCTGCAAAGTGTGGATTAAACAAATGGCAGGATGAATGCAATCTCATATAATTGTCCTGCAAACAAATCAGAAGAATTGCTCAACAAAGGCCAGGTATATTCTAACCGCCATGTAAGTTTTGTAAGCTCAATAAACTGGTCCACCCACCCACCTGCAGTTTGCTATTAAGGCCACAATCCAAAATCATGATGAATTAGAAATCTGTCTCACTAAATTCAGTGGAACTTACTCCTTAGTAACTGTGTTTAGGATTGGAGCCACCATGTAGATAAAGCAGGGAGCCCCTACAGACCCTGGCTCACTGAGAAGTGTTAGCTATATGATGTGTGAGATTTTATCATGTATGCAGTTTTCAAATACCTGCTTGCCATAGTCACACTTCATGTTTTTTAGGAATGTGGCACAGGGAGACTTTTGAGCTGGAGCAGTATGGCAGGTCTCAGAGGAGGAGCTAGCTCTGCACTTGGGGGCGGGGCAAACTGCCCGTGGGGGCGAGGTGAGCATCCCAGGGGGGCAGTGAGGTTATGTCACCCCCCTCAGGGATGACACTTGGGGCGGGCCGCACCCACTACACCCCCTTTCTCCCCCAGTGGCAGCTCTTACCTGTCAGAGAAACCAGTTCATTGAAAGAGACCATATTTGTCCCGAAAACCTGACAAGAAAATTAGATGGGTGACATAAGATACTGGAATCAAAGAAAAACAATTGTCTCTGTTAACTGCTTCACACAGTCTAGATTTCTAAAACTTCTCAGTCCGCTGCTTGTCAAATGTACTGAATGCTATTGGGCATTTAAGCCATAGTACCTTGACAGCTAGTTCTAAGGCTCCAACACTGCAGCACAGGACTCTGATTTTGGTGTTAGAGGACCAGAGGACATTTTGCTGCTTGAGGTGAAGAAGAAGATGGTACCCACAAGATTGGTAGTTGAATCTTATTTGAATGCTGGCAGTAGGATGGTGTCCCTCACATGCACAGGCAACCTGGTACTTCGCACCCTCAAGCACCTGCCACCTGAGGTGACTGCCTAATGATAATCACAGCCCCCTCTTTTACAACTTCAAAACAGTTGTGTGAATCAGTCTGGAAATGCCCAACATGCTCAGGGGAGATCAAATCAACCCACAGTTTTCCATGCTAAAAAGGTGAGGCAAATCATTACCCATCATTCTTTGGCAAACAGGAGAAGAACCACCCAGAAATGGTAACTTTCAGGTCTGAATTGTTGGGCCTTGCCTTGTTTTCTTGGCGTCACACGTGGGAGTTAGGGTGGGTGGGAAGACAGTATGTGCAGAAACCAAAATGTCCCCTAGATTTGAAGAAACGGCCACAGTGTCCACAGTGACATGCAACCAAGGGGAGGCCATGGAGTAATTTAAGCAGGAAGTTAATATCAGGAGTCAGAGTAATCAATCTCTGTTTCCCTCAAATGGCGTGAAGAAGGCAAATAAAAGTTCGGCACCTGATGTAGGCCGGCAGCTGAGAGCTGCCTGGGCTTCCCCTCCCTTTCTTCTCTTTCTGTGTCATTCTCCTCAGCGCCTCCATTCATCACACTGTCACTGTCCTGTTCGGGCTTCCCCTTGTGCCTAACTTGTCTTGGAGCTGATGGCACAAATTTAATTTGTTACAGGCGAAGGAGGAGCGAGCAGAGCCTTGCCTGGGGCACCATTGCTGGAAGCCGTGTCAGGCAGACGTATTGTTCCTTAATGGTGACTGGCTGGTGCTGGAGGAGAGGTGGTGGCACAGGAACACTGCTGATTAAATTAAAGCAAGTTGCTTCTTTTTTCACACTGGAAGTAGGTGGCTTTTTGGCCAGGAGACAATAACTTTGGAGGCAGATGCTCTTTTGGAAGCCAACCAGCCATTAATATTTATTAGGTGGCTCAACAACTAGAGCTCTGGTGTTGTGTTAGCTTTGTGATCCTGAGCTGTCACTCTGCTTTTGGGATGTAAGTGCAGCTTTGCAATTACAGGCATCGCAAGCGGTGTGATCCCATCTATGTTTGCTCAGAACTACCCAGAAACAAACCCCTGTTTTCTGCAACAGGCTTACTCAGTAAAGAGTTTCTTTATTGTTACCTTTTTATCCCACTTCCCTCCCAGGAGCTCATGGTGGCATACATGAACCTCACCTTCTGCATCTTATCCTCACCACAACCCTCTGAGGTAGATTAGTTAGGCTAAGAGAGAGTGATGGGCAGTGCTATTTTTCTAGAAAAAGAGGTGCCGGAACTCACCTCCCTTGTTCTCTTATACTGGCAATGGCACCCACCTGAGAGGTGGCAGAACTGAGTTCCGGAGAATTCTGGCTGAAAGACAGGCCTAGCGATGGGTCATCCAGTGAGCTTCATGGCTGAGTGAGGATTCGCAAGTACAGTGGTACCTCGGGTTACAAACACTTCAGGTTACAGACTCTGCTAACCCGGAAGTAGTACCTCGGGTTAAGAACTTTACCTCAGGATGAGAACAGAAATTGCGCACCAGCGGCGCGGCAGCAGCAGGAAGCCCCATTAGCTACAAGTGGTACCTCAGGTTAAGAACAGTTTCGAGTTAAGAACGGACCTCTGGAATGAATTAAGTTCGTAACCAGAGATACCACTGTACTGCTCCACATTGACTCTCACAGGAGTTTGCAGGTTTGCAACCAAAATCATCAGTCTTGAATTTTTAGCTCTTGAAAGTGTCCCTTATTACTAGATACAGTGGTACCTCAGGTTACATACGCTTCAGGTTACATACGCTTCAGGTTACAGACTCCGCTAACCCAGAAATAGTACCTCAGGTTAAGAACTTTGCTTCAGGATGAGAACAGAAATTGTGCTCTGGCAGTGCAGCGGCAGCAGCAGCAGGAGGCCCCATTAGCTAAAGTGGTCTTCAGGTTAAGAACAGTTTCAGGTTAAGAACAGACCTCCGGAACGAATTAAGTACTTAACCCGAGGTACCACTGTACTATGCCACACACTACTCAGTGGCAACTTGAGTTTTGCTGCCATTGAAAGTAGCTACATGTTATCTAGGCAAAATGGAGTGAGTAGGAGGCCTAAATATGTATGTGAAAGGCATATTAGTAAAACAGAAACTGACATGGACAAAAATAAATGTACCAAGGGCTAACTCTAGAGGCCAGGAGCATATTTATCCCGCACCTCCATGAAATGCCTTACTTTCTTCCATAGAACTGAATGGTTGCCACTCAGTTGGTAGAGCGTGAAACACTTAATCTCAGGGTGATGGGTTCAAGCCCCACGTTGGAAGAAAATATTCCTGCATTGCAGGGGGTTGGACTAAATGATCCTCATAATCCCTTCCAACTCTACAATTCTATGGTTTTTTGATACTATGTCTAGGGGCGGGGAGTAAAATGCTGCATTTGTAAACACTTTCTAGTTGTGGTGAGCTGGAAAACTGCCTTCTCTCCTTGATGCAGGGTGGCCTGGCAGACTTTACTGACAATGACGTTCCAGTGTTTTCCCTATGCTTAAAAGGGCTTAGGTAAAGGTAAATGGACCCCTGACCATTAGGTCCAGTCATGGCCGACTCTGGGGTTGCGGCGCTCATCTTGCTTTATTGGCCGAGGGAGCCGGTGTACAGCTTCCGGGTCATGTGGCCAGCATGACTAAGCTGCTTCTGGCGAACCAGAGCAGCGCACGGAAACGCTGTTTACCTTCCCGCCATATTTATCTACTTGCACTTTGACGTGCTTTCGAACTGCTAGGTTGGCAGGAGCTGGGACCAAGCAACGGGAGCTCACTCCGTCGCGGGGATTCGAACCGCCGACCTTCTGATCGGCAAGTCCTAGGCTCTGTGGTTTAACCCACAGCGCCACCCGCTTCCAAACCTGTTTATTCTCATATTTATTCCACACATGTGGGACAGGAGGTTTAAAATTTTAATTTATAGATTTAATCCTCTGTCTATTTCCAACATCCACCACAGTGAATTTGGTGTTTCTGGCATCAGGAATTGAATATTCAGCTTGAAAACTCAGACAGCAATGTGAGGGTGCAGATGAATATTTCTACTTGAGGCTGTTATTTGACCTGCCTGGCCTAGGCACCTTTACTCAGGGTCCTTGGGAAAGTTAGATTTAAGTAAGCTGCCAATTGAACTTTAGATTTTTGACACCTTGTCAAGTTGCGTTTTAACTTCGGAATCAAAGCATGGCATCTCCCTGTGAAGACTTTCCACTGAAGTTCCTTTTCCTAAGGTAGCATCATGATAAGCATGAGGGGGTATGTGTCTGGAGACCTGGGCCCAGACCACCCCTCTGCTTTGCATTGCACTCCCAGTCTCTTGGTCACATTGAAGTGTGACCAAGAGTCACCCAGATTTTTATCTTTCTGAAAAGTAGTCCTAGGTAATATAATCAGATCACACGTACATAGTAATGTATTCAGATTTCTTTCCCACAAAGTCTTGATCATTTAGTAGTCTGCATAACTGCTTAACAATTTATAACAATAACTAGGGAAAAATGGTGCTTGGTCAAGTTCTTAAAACCTTGCAGTTTTCTCGCCTCCCTTGTGCACAGGGCTCTTTATACTCATTAAGGGCGCCAGAGTGCTAAGTCATTATTGTAATAAGGATATATGCTGAATAAAAAGAGCCATGCTTCAGGCCCCATAAATTACAACTGTCAGGGAGATCGTTCAAGGGATCCACAGGGCTGGGAATAATTATTTACAGCGTGCTTTATAGAGCAATTAAAAATTCCCCAAATGGTGTTAATTGCTTTTAATGTGCAGAAAGTGCTGTCTGGATTTCAAGTGAGTGCTTAGCAGAAATGTTACTCTTTAACTATTTCCTTAATGTTTGCTTTATACTCCTCCCCCAACAATTTCTGTCCCTATTCTGTAAGTCAGATCTTTAAAAATGTATTAAATATGATGCCACTCTGAGGCCGTGTTCAGATAGATTGTTGCATTCATTGGAGTACTTCACTATTAAAAGCGAAACAATCTAGAAGTCCAATTGGCTTTACAAATGATGGGATTACAACAGGACTGGAAGGGGTGTGTGTGTGTGTGTGTGTGTGTGTGTGTGTGTTTAATCCCGGGGTCTAAAGTGCAAGAAGATCCACTTCACACAATTTGCGGAAGACAAACGTTACTTTGACATCACCTCCCCAGCTAGGGAAGGAAATGATGTCGCATGCAAATCTGAGATGTGACAATGTATCAAGCATTTCAGTTCTTGGGCTTCTTTTGAAAGCATGGGATATAAATCTAATAAATAAATAAATTTAAGAATTTGTGGCCAGGTCAAGTTTTAACAAGGGAAGGCAAGAGATGTCACCATGTCAAAAATCTCGAATTTGCAAGAGAGCAAGCAGCTGCTGCTGCTGTTGCTTTGAAAGAACTCAGCAAAGCAATGAAAAGAACGTTAAAAATTTAATGACCTGGGAGAATAAAAATGACTTCACCTAATATCCAAAGGACCATAATGTGGGCAACAAGCAAGCCTCTCTCTGGAGGGCATTTCATAAACAGGGCACCACCACTTAAAAGGCCCTCTCCTTTGTCACCACCCACTTCGTAGCATTAGATGGAGAAAGGCCTCTGATAACAATCAAATGCCTGGACAGGTACAAACAGGAGAAGGCAATTCTTCAGTCAACCTGGAGCTGAGTTCTGCAGGACTTTGAAAGTTAAAACCAGCATATTGAATTGGGTGTGAAAACAGACTGGAAGCCACATGACAAATTGCAGTAATGCATGCAGGAGGCTACAAGAGCATGGATAAACTGTAACAAGGCTGTCTCTATCCAGGTAGGGTCATAGTTAGTAGGTACACAGTTCTCCAAGCCACGGAAGTCATCTGAGTTTCAAGTACCAATGCTGGATCAAGGTCTGTTGACTGTGTATGTAACTTTCTAAGCCAGAAAAGAACGTCTGAGAAAAACAGCACACAATTTGTTCGACTGCTGAGTGTTACAACTGGCAAATTAACATATCAAATGCAGTAATTTTGAACTTTAGGGACATCACTAGAACACAGGAGAATTATGAAGAGGAGAGCATTCATACACATGCCCCCCCAAACCATGTAAATAAATAAAAATACTTAACTAAAAGTAGAAATAATCAGAATATTTGAAACTGAAATGCTCATTGACGTCACTTGGATAATATTGTGGCATAATTGGCAACCCGACTGAACAATAGGCATGGCTTCCTTGAACTGACCAATTGTGTCGCAGGTACCTCAGTTCTGGAACAGGACAAGTGGGTGCCCTGCAACCCCCCCCAATAAATCCTGGCTATGCCCATGTTGATACAGGAGAAGGAATCTGAAGGAGAATCCGTACATTTTCTTGAAGTGTTGTGCCAAATGCTATGACACCCAAGGGACCTCTAGTGCAGCATTCTGTTCTCACAGTGGTCAACCGGATGCCTCTGGGAAGGCCGTAAACAGGACCTGACTATAGCAGCACTCCCCCCCCCCACTTGGGATCCAAATAAAATGTTGCTTTCTTGGGACAATGACTTCCACGAGATTTATTTTCAAGTCAATACATTTTAATTCAAGATGATTGCAGGGTTAGAGCCCTTTCAACCTTTCACTCAGAGTACCCCTCAGAGTACCCCACCAAAAAAAGCAAACCCCAAGTTTTCTCCTCTGACTTCTGATCCATGAGGTTTTGGTTCAGGTTCCATTTTCCCTCTTCAAGATGTTCTGATGAAGACAAAAACCCACAAAAATTGACTCATCGGTATATTGGGTGGGCAGGGAGAACCCAGCACAAAGGAAAGGTCCCTGAGAATGGATGAAACAGGAAACCCGCAGAGAGGGGTGTTTGGAATTATTACTATTGCTTTGCCTACGTAGGGGAAGCCATGTGATATGGAAGGATCTTTCCTGGGTTCCTGTTTAACAGATTTAAACTAAAGAGACAACTCTACTGTGTATTGAGGGAGGTGATTCTTGAAACATGCTTATCCAGTCTTTTGCAGGAGGACAGGTAGGGTTTGTGTAGGCCTTCGTGACAGGCACCTTTTATCTTCCATTGTTAAAGAAATGTTTATAGTTTGTTCGTTACAGTTTGTTCTTCAGAACCTCTTTGTCGCTCTTTGTTTCTGCTGTCAATACTGGTGTGCTGAAAGGATGGATGAAACAAATTGCACATATTCAGACCTCCAAACTAAATCCACACATGCATCTCTCCCAAAACACAATTCTCCTTCTAGGTTCTTTATTAGATTAGGAACAATTCAGTATTGGTATTAACAAAAAATCCTACATTCCGTTGTGCCCAAATCTGGGGATCAAATGCTTATAAACAGGAATTAAGAGAGGGAGAAACTTTCTATTTGCTGAGGAACCTAGAGAGACCCAGTGTGGGCTGGCTCTGGTGTCTCCTAGACAGAGGTGCCCTGGCCACAGTTCTCTATGCCCTGGTAACATCCAGATTAGGTTGAGACATGTTGCACTTGCGGCAAGCCTTTAAAAGCTACCCAGAAGCAGCAATTGATACATATTTGGTAGCAGCATTATTGACTAACTAGCCATGTATAGCAGTATCAAAAGACACCGCTGGCTTCCTGTGTTTTCCACAAGACCTGAAGGGTAGAAATAGAAACAGAACTACTAAATCAGTCAGATCGACTGAATCACTGTCTAGTATGGGATCTAATATTGTGGGGTGTTCTGAAGCTGCACTGAACTAGGACTCCCTAGTTCTCTGTCACTTATAGCCTTGGTGCAGTGGTGAAGCTACCTGCTCTGGCACCAGGAGCGGCGTACATCCGGGGGCATGGCTGGCGCGTGTCCCGGGGGCGTGGCGCACTGCCCATGGGGGGCGTGCCACGCATCGGGGGAGCATGCCAAGTGGTGCACATCCCAGGGCGTGTGCGCTGAGCGTCCCAGGGGCAGGGGCAACTGCAATGTCACCCCCCTGGGATGCCACCCGGGGCAGACCGCTCCCCCCTGCCCCCACTTTCATCCGCCAGTACATTGGTGAGTATATTTGCTTTATGGCACTTTTTTTCTACATAATGCTTTATAATGTGGTAACAATTAGCTCATCTCACATTATAACATGTGAGAAAGGGAGGCAGTGGAGGAGAGGAAGCACAGAGGAGAAGCGTGAGTCTCCTACTTGGCATTTAACATATGTTCTTTTATAAAACCCAGGTCCTGACTGGAATATGCTAATTGTATACAGGAAGTGGGAGCAATATGTCTGGGAGTTGGGTGGTGAATGGGCTTAGCAGGCACTTGTCTTATGTGTAGGGCTGCCATACGTCCAGTTTCCC